TTAACCTCTACACAAATAATTTGTGAAATGTTTTATGCTGCGCCTCCTTTTGTCTTTTGCACATAAATCTATACATTTATTGCTTTCGACCTATTAATCTTGCTGAAATATTGTTTGATTATAAGAACAAATTATGCAGAACTGATAAAATAATTTTTTTTCTCAACTCTGCAGGATAATGCTGAGATTATAGAGGCCTATGTGAAATCCTGGACTTCTGGTGCTCTCGACAGGGCTGCAAGTCGAGGATCAATTGCGTATGTGCTGGTTCTCCACCACCTTTCACATTTTATCTTTCATTCCAGTACTGGTGATAAACTGCTTCTACGGAACAAGCTTGTGAGGTCACTTTTGAGAGACTTCTCCCTGAAGCAACACCATGAGGTATGTATACTTTTTGAAGACACTCTATGAAACTGGTATTAACGAACTGGTTGAACTATAACACCTCATAAGGTGAAGTGTGGCGCCTCCCGCCCTAGCAGCGGGTCGCCAACCTTAAACTACTACTATTAAGCCGAGTTATAGACTAATCTATTACTTGTTATTAGACTATCGCCTCTTTAATTTACGTTTCTGTACGAGTAAATTTTTTTTTCTTTAACCCTTGGGTTCTTAACATGTTCTTAGCATGTTCTTTTGTTATACAATAACTTATCCTTGCTAATACTTTAAGAAATCGGATATGGAACAAGTCCCCGAAACTTATCCTAACTTATTACAGTCTATTGTTCTTTACTAAGACAATGTAACATCTTTTCCTTAAAACTGAAACATATAAACTTGGTTCTATATTACATTACTCTGCAGCGGAATTTATTTTCTAAGCGAGCGTAGTAGAAATCACTCCCGTGTACCCATGACATTTCCGCCACCCTTGCCTCCGCCGGTCCATCAAGCAAAACCACTATATGGCTGGCTGCTTACCTTTGTTACCTGTACATGAGTAAACTGATGAGCTAACGCTCAGCAAGTATAAACATGCACACATCATAAACTAGAAAAGAATTACATTAAAAGTTATGATGCAAATATGCTCGTGTGAAACATGCTTTTTGTCTTTTTGTTCTTACTACTGTGGGCATGGGCCATTGCTTACTGTCTTGTTATTGTTGGCCTGGGCCCCTGTTTACTGTCTGGTCTGGTCGGAATCTCTACTCTTTGAGATTTCCTCCATTGGGAGGCCGACGACCCGTTAGTCTCTTTACATTACTGAACTTTGAGTTTTTCATTTCAAAGTGTTAAAAACTTTACTGAATGATATGCAACGTTTCTCTACGTGCATATGCTAACAGAAAATGCATAATACTACTTGCATACTTTAACTATGTATAAGGGTAGCCATATGTCGCTCTTTTGCAATCTAGGGCACTGAGCCCTCCAAGCACGTATAATCACATATAATCACATAGACTTAGGAACATAAGTAAATTCATAGTTCTAAGTCTAACTACATCTTATTCGAGTCCAGACAAACATATATGTCTATACTTACAAATAATCCGCTAGGATTCCCGCTTGCTAGAAGTTCTTTCTCGTTGTCTTGGCTCTCGTGCCAAAACCTGTTTCATGGAAATAGGTATAAATTTCCTATTCCAAATCACAATTCTTCATACTTAGATTTTTAAATCTAATTTCAAACTCGTTTTTGAACCCTTTTTCCCCTCTAGGCCGAATCCTAGTTTAAGAGGTAAATTACACATATTTGTGTATCTCGGTTTCTGAATCTTAATCTGTTCATTTCCGAGTTTTAAAACTGTTATTCATTCTCTAGAATCGAATTATTAACTCATTGCTTACTAACTAATTTTTAGGAAATTTTGGCAGAGTTTCGTCTTATTTTTCTCGTTTCCCGAGTTTTCAATAACTCGTTCTACTTCCGATTTCGGTACCTGGAGTTAAGATTTACATTCTTGAACACAGATTCTAACATAAAATTGAACAAAACATATGTTCTTTCTTAATCTAGGCTCACGGATTTTCAATAGAAATCCACCAAAACTTCCTTCAATCATCTTAATACTTACACCGTTAAACTCTTATTACAATGCTCTACAAAACCTCAGTTTTAATTTTCACTTTAACGGAAGTTTTTCTAAGATGGGTTACTATTGATCCAAATCAAGAAATCATAGAAGTCTCATGAAAAATCTGAAATCTTACCTCCAGTTGTTGAGGTTTTTCACTAGAACACCTTAGGTTACGTTTCTACCGGACTGAACGGAAGAAATCTCAATGAAAATGCTTGATTTTCCTTCCTCCGTCTCTCTCTAGAACCTCTCTTTTTTTTTCTTTCTTCGTAACTTCCTCACGTCTCTCTCTCTCTGTTTTTTTTTTTCCTTTGCTATACTTCACGTGAAGTATGTAATAACCTTTTCTTTTGTTTTTCCACGTGAGTCATCCTTCATGCCGTGAGTCATCCTTCACTTAAGCCTATGTAATGACAAATGGTTTTTTTTGCATGTGAGGTTCCACCTCACGGTAACTATCATTCACTTTTTTTTTTTTTTTTTACACGTACTTAGATAATCTAATATATATATATATATATATATGTATATATGTATATATATTATAACTTTGTTCAACCTACTTTTATTCTTTGCTATATCCAAGATACGTGCTAGCAAATGAGTAGGTTCTATACTCCTCAAATTTTTCTTGTCGAGACCTAACTCTCCGTTTCTCAAAACGAGTCTCTTTCCGGTACTAATAATTTCACAATCAATACAGGTTCTATACTAATTTTTTGGACTGTCGAGTACTCTGGATCAAACTTCCCATGTTCAACCCAATTCTTTTGGGTATCTCATTAGTCAATTTTTTTTTTCTGAAATTTTTATTTTAATCGATCCAGAATTGCCCAAAACCTTACCCTCGCGGCATTATTTTTTTTTAGCAGTTTTCCACTTTAACTGGCTCGGAAAAATTTTGTTTCAGGAATTTTTGTTATTTTTCTTACTTCTAATATTTCTACTCTTTTTCTAGCTGGTCATTTGGTCACAAACCAAATATTTTAGTTTTTCATAACTAAAATGTACCCGCTAAAATTTCTAACTTTTAACTACTATTTCACTTTCCATAACTGATATTTACGAATTTTCCTCGTAAGAACATTCGTATTATAACTTTACATATTTTGAGAAATTTTATCCTGTATATAAAGTTCCTTCATAATATTTTATTGATTACATCAAAATTCTACTGATTATTCCGAAAAGAATTTCGGTCAAATACCGGACTGTCCGGATTAGACCTAAATTTTTCTCGGTCATGAAGTGAACCGGTTAAGATGCCCACAGTTGAACAAATTAAAGCACCCCCTACACGGAATGAAATCTATTCTTTCGTGCGGAAATGGTTGAACTGTCAACTGTCAAATCATACTATCCATATAGATGATATAGAAAAGAAGTCACGGTGTCATACAGACAAAGGAGTGTCAATTTGGTATCTGAAATTCTCATGATATGACCTTTATCACTCTATAACTATTGTATGACAAATTACCTTCTATTTTCATATTGTTCCTGGGAAGTTATATCAGAGATGGAGATTTCTAATGTCGAACTCTTATAATTGCAGGCAATGCTTTTGAATCTAATTCAATATGAAGAGAAAGCATCATCTCAGACGATTAATTTGAAAGATGATTTGCAATTATACAGCAATATAAACAAAAGGCTTGATGTCTTAACTGAAGCTTGCGAACAAAATTCTTCTCTACTAAATGAGGTAAAGAAGCTAAAGTCCCTTGTACAGAATACAGTTTCGTGAGCTCATCAAAATTTTGTTTTGCATGGATGAGCTTTTTTGTAAACTTATGTGTCGGTTTCTTTTTCTTTCATTTCTATCTGATCACATGACTTCTGACTTTGAGGACAACCCAACGAAAAGTTTTCTGCTGATTAAAGGAAACACTTGTTGCAAAAAAATAGAAGAGTTAAAGGAAACACTTGTTGCATATTTCATTCTGTTGATTCAACCAAAAAAAAAAAAAGAAAGAAAAAGAAAAAGAAAGAGATTTCATGGAGGGTAGTAAAGCCCAGTAAATGTTCTTTGTACTTGGGCACTTCATTCCTTAATTCGGACAATGTTTGATGTGAGGGAGGATCCCCTAGCGGGAAAGACTTTATTGACTGATAAATAAAATCTTCTAGGTATTCCAACTTCCAAGTATAAAAAACGAGCCAGCAAAATGATATGTGATCTTGGCTTTGAAAGGCCACAATTCATGACCGTTTGAGTTTCTTTTGCGGCGTGTTGCTAATGACGTGTCACCAGATTGCAGTTTCTGGATTTATGCTTCCCTGTGTATCATAGTTCAGATGAATCTTTAGTGCATCTTTTTATTCATTGCTCTCTAGCTAGGTCCCTTGGGTTTGCAGGTCGGAAGGCAATAAGATGCGACTATGCATCTTAATTCGGGCTTTGAGCTAAGACAGAGTATTTTGCTCCCGCCTGATGCTTTAAAATTTTCATTTTGCCATAGATAAGACTTGGTCTTGTTGGTATGCAATATGGTAGGCAAGAAATAAAGTTGTGTTTGACGACTCAAATCCGGATACAAATAGCATGATCATTTCTCTCAAAGGTTCATTTGAGGAACACAAATCAGTTAAGTCATCTGTCGTTAAGTTAGCTCTGAGGCTAACTCGAACAAATTTTCAAGAAAGACGCGGAGCCTATAAAGATTAATGTCGATGCAGCCTTTAAAGAGAGTGTCGGAAATATAGGATGAGATAAGTTTAGTTATAGTTTATGCGTTATCAATAAGATTTAAATTCTAGAGTTTAAATTTTGTAGTATAAGATAAGGATTGTTAAAGATAGGATTTAGAGTTTATCTAGAAGAAGATTAGATTCTCAATCTCTTCAATATAACAATTGTATTTTTCCGGTTAGGTGAAGATCTAAATAAAATTAAATATTTTCCCCCAAAATCCTACATGGTATCAAAGCTTAGGCTCTTAACCTAATCTTCCAATCGCAAAAACTACCATGGCCGGCGCCAATAGAAGTTCCTCTTCCACGAGAGATGACGCAGAGAGTTCGCAAGACAATTCAGCCACAGTCCAAAGCAGTGATGATGAGGTTTCCCTCATAAATCTCCCATCTAATACGTTGCAATTGACGACACACAAATTAAATAGGAAGAATTACTTGTCTTGGGCTCAAACTGTGAAGCTTTTAATCGATGGAAAAGGGAAGTTAGGGTTCCTGACAGGCGAGGCAAAGAAACCAGGGGAGAAAGACCCAAAGTTGAAGACATGGAGATCCGAAAACTCCATGGTTACCGCATGGCTTATCAATTCCATGGATTACTCGATTGGAAAGCCATTCTTATTCCTTCCAACCGCCAAAGCAGTTTAGGATGCCATACGAGAGACCTATTCCGACTTAGAAAATTCATCTCAAATATTTGAGATAAAATCAAGACTATGGCAGGCAAGACAAGGGGATAGAGAGGTCATGGTTTATTGCAACGAGATGGTGAACCTTTGGCAGGAATTGGACTTACGCTACGAGGAAGAATGGGACTGCACCAATGATAGCGTGCACTGTATGAAGAGGTGGAGAATGACAGAGTGTTTGTCTTTTTGGCCGGACTCAACAGGGAATTAGATGAGGTGAGAGGTCGGATTCTAGGAAGGAAACCACTTCCATCCATCCAAGAGGTGTTCTCTGAAGTGAGAAGGGAAAAAAAGCGAAGGAGTGTGATGATGAAGAAAGAAGAAGCAAGAGGAGTAACAGAGGCCAAAACCTTTGCCTTGGTTTCTCGGGGGGCTGACTTGGACGGAGACAGGAGAAACACAAAGAAGAATGATAGGCCATGATGTGATCACTGTAAGAAACCTTGGCATACACGGGAAACATGTTGGAAATTACATGGGAAGCCACCGAACTGGAAAAAAAGAATGAAGGGGGTGGCCGAGCATTTCAAGTTTCAAATGATGACCAAGGGCAGCAAGTCTCAACAGAAAGCTCTCCATTCACAAAGGAACAGACATACCACTTGTTGAAAATCATCCAATCCTCACAATTCTCTGTAAATTCCTCAAATCCATCATGCTCTCTAGCCCATAAAGGTAACTACCTCACTGCCCTTGTTAGTGTCGATTCCGATATAAATTGCTCGTGGATCAAAGATTCCGGTGCAACTGATCACATGACAGGATCATCAAAATTGTTCTCTTCATATAGTCCATGTGCAGGAAATCAAAAAATTAAAATAGCGGATGGATCCCTTTCAACCATAGTTGGGAAAGGTTTTATCTCTCCATTCATCACTCTTCAAAATGTTCTTCATGTTCCCAATTTGTCATGTAATTCTCTTGTCTGTCAGTAAACTAACTCGAGACTTAAACTGTCAAATTCACTTTTCCACATCTTCTTGTAAGTTTTAGAATTTGAACTTGGGGAAGACGATTAGCAATGCTAGACAAAGTGAAGGACTCTATTTCTTTGAAGATGGATCAAGCTCGGGAAGACAAGCTCAAAATATTTGTTTTAAGTCTATTTCTGTTTCTAGCAATAAAAAAGTCATGTTATGGCATTTTAGGTTAGGACATCTAAATTTTCAATATCTTAAATTTGTGTTTCCTACATTGTTCATCAATAAAAGTCCATCTTCATTTCAGTGTGAGATTTGTGAATTGTCAAAACATCACTGGGCTTCCTTTCCTCCACAACCCTATAAGGGCTCAAAACCATTCACAGTTATCCATAGTGATGTTTGGGGACCTTCTAAGGTTAGCACTTTCTCTCACAAAGATGGTTTATCACCTTCATAGATGATCACACACGGGTAATTTGGGTGTTTCTATTAAAAGAAAAGTCTGAAGTAGAAGAAGTTTTCAGAAACTTTTACAACATGGTTCAAACACAATTTAAAACTAAAATTCAGGTTTTCCGAAGTGATAATGGGAAAGAATATTTTAATAAAATCTTGGGTAAATTTTTCTTAGAAAAAGGGATTGTACACCAAAGTTCTTGCAATGACACCCCTCAACAAAATGGGGTGGCGGAAAGAAAAAAATTGAGGTTGCTAGGTCACTACTTTTTACGAAAAATGTTCCAAAATACTTGTGGGGTGAAGCAATCCTTACTGCCGTGTTCCTAATTAATAGAATGCCCACAAGAGTTTTGAAATTTCAAACACCATTGAACTGTTTTAAGCAAAAATTTTCCACATCACGGCTTGTCGCTGATATTCCACTTAAGGTATTTGGTTGTGTTGCATTCGTTCATGTGCACAATCATAATGGGGGGAAATTGGATCCTAGGGCAAAAAAATGTGTTTTTATTGGTTACTCACCAACACAAAAAGGGTACAAATATTTTGACCCAATTTCAAAAAAGGTTTTTGTAACTATGGATGTGACATTCTTTGAAACACAGAAATATTTTTGTAAGAATCATCTTCAAGGGGAGAGTGATAGTGAAGATGCGAGGTTAGAAGCTGAACTTGATCTACTTGACCCTCCTGCTGTGCTTGATCCTGCTATTGTTGAATATCCTGCTGAAGCTGCTACTGTCGAATATGACAAGAACCATGATCCTGTCGAGAATGACCCCTTTGAACCAGTAAGGAAGTCTCAAACCATCTAAATATGAATCCTATGTCTTTAGAATCAAATCCAAATCCACATCTAGAAAATGATATTTTAGAAATTGGGAATGATGGAGGACCTCCTCCAATGCCATTAGATGACCGGTTAGGAATAGAGATGTGTGAAAAACTAAGTGGAAAAATTCAAGAGCTCCGTGTCTACTGAAGGAGAAAACCGATTCAAGGAAAGAGAGTTCCTCCTTTGTAGCATTGCCATGAATCCAACTTGGGAACGGATCTAGAGTCCCCTTCAGGTACATCTCTGTCTCAATCAAAATCTTTGGAGTCTAGTGTCCAAGCTAAGTCTATTAATAACTTGGATGTTCCTATTGCTCATCGTAAGGGGGTTAGATCTTGTACACAACACCCCCTGTCCAACTTTGTGTCCTATGAAAAATTATCACCTTCTCTTCGTGCTTTTACCTCACAATTGTATAATGTAGAAATTCCTAGAATGGTGCAGGAGGTTCTAAATGTTCCTGAATGGAAGGAGACTATTCTAGGAGAGATGAGGGCTCTAGAAAAAAATGAAACTTGGGAAGTTGTGGACCTACCGGTGGGAAAGGCAACTGTTGGCTGTAAATGGGTCTTTACAGTCAAATACAATGCAGATGGCACACTGGAAAGGTACAAGGCCCGGTTGGTAGCTAAGGGTTTCACACAGACATATGGGATAGACTACTCAGAGACATTTACACCTGTCACAAAACTTAATACAGTTCGAGTTCTTTTGTCTATTGCTTTGAATTTAGACTAGCCACTACAACAACTGGATGTGAAGAATGCATTTCTGAACAGGGATCTGGAAGAAGAAGTTTATATGGATTCCCCTCCCGATTTTGATAAAAAGTTTTGTTCTAAAGTGTGCAGATTGAAAAAACCACTCTATGGATTCAAGCAATCACCAAGGGCTTGGTTTGAAAAGTTTACTCAGTGTGTGAAAAGACATGGATACACTCAGGTGCATACATACCACACTCTATTTATGAAGTTCTCAACCGGACGGAAAGTTGCAGTTCTGATTGCCTATGTGGATAATATCATCCTCACTGGAGATGACTTGGCAGAGATGGAGAGGTTGAAACAGTGCTTAACTTCTGAGTTTGAGATTAAAGACTTGGGACAATTGAGATACTTCCTTGGCATGGAAATCGCAAGATCCAAAAAAGGCATAGCTGTCTCTCAACGAAAGTATGTTCTTGATCTCCTGAAAGAGACTGGGATGAGTGGTTGCATACCAGTAGAAACACCAATGGAGCCGAACCTAAAGCTTGGAGAAAGAGAAAAAGGAACACTGGTGGACATAGTAAGATACCAGAAGCTGGTCGAGAAACTGATATATCTGTCACATACTCGCCCAGACATTGCATTTGCTGTCAGTGTCGTGAGTCAATTTATGCACTCTCCATATGAAGAACATCTTGAGGCAGTCCACCGAATCTTGAGATATCTGAAGAGTACCCCCGGGAAAGGATTGTTCTTAAAGAAAAATGAACAGCGAGGTATTGAAGTCCACCGATGCTGATTGGGCTGGATCTATTACAGATAGAAGATCTACATCTGGGTACTATACATTTGTCTGGGGTAACTTAGTTACGTGGAGAAGCAATAAGCAAAGTGTTGTGGCAAGGAGTAGTGCTGAGGCTAAGTTCAGATCAATGGCTCATGGAATATGTGAAGTTCTGTGGTTGAAGCGGATTCTTGAAGAATTAAGGAGGCCGATTGAGAGTCCAATGAAACTTTATTGCGACAACAAAGTTGCCATTAGCATTGCTCATAACCCCATACAACATGATCGAACAGATTGACAGACATTTCATTAAAGAGAAACTTGAAGCATGAATCATCTGCTTGCCGTTTGTTCCAACTACACAGCAGATAGCTGATATCTTGACTAAGGGGCTTCTACGGTCTCATTTTAAATTTTTGACAAGCAAGTTGGGTATGATAAATATCTATGCTCCAATTTGAGGGAGAGTGTCAAAAATATAGGATTAGATAGGTTTAGTTATGGTTTATGCGTTATTAATAAGATTTAAATTCTATAGTTTAAATTTTATAGTATAGGATAAGGATTGTTAAAGATAGGATTTAGAGTTTGTCTAGAAGAAGATTAGATTATCAATCTCTTTTATATAACTATTATATTTTTCTGATTATGTGAAGATAAATAAGATTAAATATTTTCTCCCAAAATCCTACAGAGTATCTGCCAGTCTTATATCTCGAGATTCCTTTGGATCTCCTCTAATCATCTGAGGAGCATTACAAGTAGCTGTTTCGAGTAAAATTTGAAGGGGATTGTAAAGCTGCTGGTCAAATGGGAACGTTTCTCCCACACGGCAGCTCACTCCCTTCTTTTCTTTCTGTTTTAGATCTTATAAAGATAAAGAAATTCCACTCAGTAGTTTTTGCTTGGATTTATTCTTTATGCACCCCCTTTGTGGGCCTTTGGTTACGAGACGGTGAGTAATTTATTCCCGTTTCTTGCAAGAGAGAGAGTGCAAAGTCCCACATTGATAGCGTGCAAAGCTCCACATTGATATTGTGCAAAGCTTTTACGCTATTATAAAAGGATATCTCAAGCTTTTGACGAAACATGTTTGCGCTTGGGGGCAATGATGTAGCCAGAGAGGGGCGTTAACTTCAAGTTCAAATTTTAACTTTTATATAGTCCTCCCACTTTATATATATTTACACATTCTGGTAGTGGGTTATTTTTTTGGGAAGGAATTTTGTAGTGGTTTTGTTCTTTAAGAAATAACTTTTGTATGGACGTTTGGTTCATGAATTCAGAATCATGAATCAGAACTATTATCGTTTGGTGTATTTTTGATGAGAGAAAAACACTATAGAGAACTATGAATCATGATTCAGAATCAGAGACGAATACAGAAAACAAACATAAAAAAAAAAAAATCTCTTCCTCCTAATGCATTATTACGTATTTTGCAAACGCCGGTTTATCGTGTTTCATGCTTTTTAAAATAATGCAAGTCCAATAAATTTTGACATGATTCTTGTGGCAATTCAATCACAAACCTCGTAAATGCCATTATTTTGTTAATTTATATCAACTCGAAATATATCACTGGTGACTAGGCTAGGAAAAAAGAAGCTCAATAAGTTTCTATATAAAAGAAATAGATAAAAGATATAGGCTAGGAAAAAAACGCTCAAATCACAAACCTTGCAAATGCCATTATTTTGTTATTTTTTTTAACATTCTTTATTGAAATATTTTTTAAAATGTTTGATAATTAGTTTTGATTTGTGTTTTTTTTTTTAAATAATGTGAAAAAAAATATATTTGGAGATAGAGTTTGGGGGTCTAAATTGAGATATTTATGAGTATCATTAAAGCCCTAAGTACATTGAATATTTACGAGTATCATTCATTCAAGCAAAAATCTTTCCCCTAGACACATTAACCTCGATTCTATAGGCTAATCCTCGACCTTGACCACCATTAACACTCTGAAGGCTGAATCAAACATTATAGGACCAAAATGCAAATCTACGAACCAATTCAAGATTAGTGGGTGGACAGTGACGACAATTGAGAGCCAAACTAAATAAACAAAGTAAAGATTGACTGTCTGGTGGAGTCATCACCCTATCAGTTATCACTCCACTAGAAAACAATGACAAATACCTTTTTTTTCTTTCTTCAAAATCTCAAATTTTTTTTTCGTACCTTTACTTGCAAAAAGTCAATAAGTTGCTCTCAAAAGTGTGAAGAGTTCTACTAAAAAAAACAAATTGCACTTATAATGTTTTGAGGGAAAAAAAAAGTCTCCCGTGAGAATTTCTAGAAGGGCTCCCTAAGGGCTATAGCCTTCTTACTATAAGTTTCTTCTACATTTTTCTACCTCAGGATGGTTCAACAATATCACGTGCTTTTAAAAAAAGGATCTGCTAAAAAAATAAATTGCGTTTTTGATATTTTCAAATGAACTTTCTCCATGTTCTATTCTTTTTGAAATATCGGAGTTTTCTACTTTTCAGTTGTCAGATTTATATAAAAATTTATCTATTTTGTATATTTTTTTTAATCTGGTGTGATTTTAACTAGATCTAACGGCTAAAAAAATAGAGAACACCGATAATAAAAAAAAAACATCAGACAAACTCCTGTTTTCAAAAGACAAAGTCACCCTTGAGAATTTCTAGAAGGGCTCTCTAAGGAAGAAAGCCCTGCAATTCGTATACGTTTCTTCTACTTTGGTTCAACTTGTTAATATTGTAGAATTTTTCTACCTTGAGGTGGTTACAATATGCTTTTATGATGTTAAGTGAATAAGTTGCAAAAAGTCTTAAGTTGCTCTTAAAAAAAGGTAGGAGTTCTACTAAAAAAATAAGGTAATTCCCTCTGATAGGCTAGGCTTGTCAGCCAGGGGTGGAGCTATTTTTAATGTTAAATTTTTATTCTTAAAAGTCTTATGATATTTTTATTTGTCCCTTTCAAAATTTAATACTTTCATATATGCTCTCATTGAATCTTACGTTATTTAATCTTTATTCTTATATATATATGTACTTGGTAGTTATTGAAAAATATTGTCATTCAAATTTTTATACTTCTTATGTTTTTTTATTGTAAAAATATTAAAAATATGCCCCAATTGAAGTAAAATACTCGCTCCGTCACTACTTGTCAGTAGTGTTAATTTCTAACCGTTAAATTAAGTCAAAATCACATTAAATTAAAAAAATATTCATAACATCAGACAGTTTTAAATATAGATTTATAATTGAAAATAAAATATTACAAATAATTTATATTTTTCTGGTCCTCTAAGAAGCTCCCAAAAAATAAATTGCATTTACAATGTTTTTAAAACAAAAGTCAATAACTTGCTCCGTAAATTAGTCAGCAAAGAGGAAGGACTTTTCATTAGCTAAAAAAAAGAAAAAGAGAGAGAGGGAGTTCTACTAGAAAAAATTAAGTAAAATGCTACAATAATGCAAACACCTTTTTCATATGGATACGCAATGGTTCAGATTTCTTGGATTACTTGTGGACCTTATCTTTGTTTTTTTTTTTAACCAGCCTTGAACTAGAGATGCAACAATGGGCCGGGGCCCGTGGGCCAGCCCAAGCCCATCCTGATATAGTGACGGGCTGGGCCGGCACGGCCCAGCCCATAAATATTGGTGGGTTGGGCTGGGCCAACATATATCGGCCCATGGGCCGTCCCGGCACGGTCCATAGAAAATCATGGGACGACCCTGCACGGCCCATGGAAAATCATGGACCAGGCTAGGCTGGGCCAGCCCGTCTAGGCCCACAATGGGCCGGCCCAGCCTGACCCGTCTAAGCCCATAATGGGCCGGCCCAGCCCATCTAGGCCCATAATATTTTCATGTTTTTTTTTTCTTTTTTTTTAGTAATTTTGTCAACATCTTATGTATAATTATCCCGATTGTACTCTTTTTTCCTTACCAAGGCTTTGTCCCACTAGGTTTTCCTTATAAAGGTTTTTATTTAATGAGGTAATCGTAAATAAAATATCAGTTTTCATATTTTTATTGACTATTCAAACTTATATATTTGTTAACTTGTTTAAAAAATAAAAAAATTAAAAATTAAAAATTACATGCTTAGATGGGTTGGCCCATCTAAACCCATGATGGGCCAAGATGGGCCTTGAGTGGGCTAGCCCATTCAAGGCCCATGGCACGGCCCATCTTGGCCCGCGACATGGCCTAGCCTGGCCCGCGGCATGACTTAGCTTGGCCCACGTAAAATTGGCCCGTGGTGTGAGCTGGGCTGATGTCATTCTTATACGGGCCGGGCAGCCCGGCCCACTCAAATTATGGGCTGGGCCGGCTCGGCCCGCGGCCCGTGTGGGCCTAAGGAGAATGGGCCGGGCCGAACCGGCCCATTCTTGCATCTCTACCTTGAACTGATGCTTTGAAGTGAAAAAAAAAACCCAGATCCTTTTCCCAATCTCCAGCGTCAATTGATTCAATTGTTAGAGACAATCGTAAAAAGCTTGAAGGTCGCCGAAGATCTTGTGTGACTAGTAGTTGGACATTTAAATAAAAAATCCTTTCCCTTTCCTCTATCGAAGAACAAACTTTTTTTTTCTTTTGATTTAAAAGCTTTTGCTTGATTACCTTTCCGCTGTCGGAGATTTTTTTTTTTTGGGGTTTAAAAGCTTAGTTGAAAAAAAAAGAACGAAAAAGAGATTGTGTATGAATGTTTGTTTACTGTATTCGTCCTTGATTCTGAATCATGATTCATGATTTTTTACAGTGTTTTTCTTTCACAAAAAATACATATAAAACGAGAATGATTCTGAATCATAATTCTAAATCTATGAATTAAACGTCTACTGCATATATAAGAGCTCATGCCAGCGGGAGAAGAGATAACATTGCCGCCGTGAGAAGTGGGTTTGTGCCACCGTTCATGCTGTCATTGGATGATTTTTAGTTAAATTTAATTCATTTTTAAGGTTTAAAATTCACAAATTGTGAAGATATTACTAGTGTTGTTGACTATTAATTTATTTAACAATTTAGATTTAAATAAAATATGCGGCAATTCAAAAATTAAACTTTAAGGTATAAATAAAATGTTTTTAAAAATTTTATATAAATATCATAACAAAAATGTTGAACCCATCCCACGTGTATGAGGAGTTTAGTAATGCTCATATCCTAAATAGAAAAATTTAGGGAGACTATTTTTATTTTTATTTTTTGAACTTGGCGTGGAAGGTTCGAACTCTTATCTTTATTACGGAGTTAGGTGTCGAATTACCTTTAGGCTGTCTGCAACTATGAGACACTTTAAAAGAAAGAAAAAAATTAAAAATATCGCTTAAGATGGTAAAAAATATTATTTATATGACTTTATTAAAAAATAAACAAGTGTTATTCAATTAATAAGAATAAAATAAAAAATTATAATGATAATTAATTATTTAGAATAATATAAATAATAAACTTGAAAAAAAAATTATTAAATTTAAAATTTTCTGCACAAATTAAAGGGGCCAATTTTGATTACGGTAGCGCAGGCAGTGGGCCTAAAAGAAATTGTGGCTCCGTGTAAAGTAGGATTCTTTAATGGAAAATAGTAGGAAATAGGCCGATATGAAAAGTTTAAGAAAGTATATAGGCCAATTTGTAGTTATAGAAATTAATAGATCATAACTTGTTAAGTTATAGTTCATAATCAGATAAGTTATAGACAAACTTGTCAAGTTATGGTTCATAGCCAGACAAGTTATGGACAAAAACCGGAAATAACTTGTCAAGTTATGATTCATAACCAGACAAGTTATAGATGAAAACAGTAATTTAACATATTTATTAACTTATGTAAACTATTGACCTATTAATTTTAATTCATCTTAAATCTTGACATATTTTTCTCTTTCTCCCTTCTTTAATATAACTTGGTAACTTGGACTTTTAGTGTATATACAGCTATATAAACTATCATATAGCACAGCTTGCTACGCAGATCCTTAACAATATTCAATAGACGTAAAAACTAAAAAGAGACATGGAAGAAACACAAAGAGATCACTTAACATGGGGACTATTAGAGGAAGAAAGAGAAGAAGAAAAGCAAAAAAAATTCGATATGTCGAAATACTATTTTGGCGGGGATGTAGAAATGGCTGTGGTGAAATGTGCTATTGATCTTGGCATGGCTGACGCCATAGCAAACCATGGACGTCCCATGACACTTCTAGAGCTGTCATCAGCCCTAGATTGTGATCTCCAAAACCTTCACCGCGTCATGAGGTTTTTAGTCAACCATGGAATATTCAAAGAGATCATCATCCGAAACGAAGACACCGTCCCAACTGCATATTACGCGCAAACACACAGCTCTCGCCGGTTAATGAGAACCGGAGAGAACAGCATGGCGGCGTTTATTCTGATGCAGAGCAGCCCACCTGCGAAGGCGGCATGGCACTGTCTGAGCGCATGTGTCAAGGGGAAAGCTACCTCGGCTTTTGAGGTGGTGCACGGCGAGGACGTATGGAAACACGCTGAGGCAAACCCGGCCCAAAGCCAGCTCATCAATGAGGCCATGGCTTGTTTAGCTAGGGTGATAGTATCGGCGATCATTGATGGTTGTTTGGACATGTTTGAAGGGGTTGAAACCCTCGTCGACGTCGGCGGAGGCACCGGGACGATCATGCGTAGGTTGGTTAAGGCCTGTCCTTGGATTAGTAAGGGCATTACCTTTGATCTTCCTCATGTTGTATCTCTTGCTGAACAGTGTGAAGGGATCGAGTATGTTGGAGGTGACATGTTTGAATTTATTCCTAAGGCTGATGCTGTATTACTCGTGGTACGTAAATCTAACCCCGTTCATTTAACCGATTCGAGTTTTGTTATAGTAAAAAGCTTTTAGAAACAATCACATCTAACTTTTTTAGTACAGTAAAAAACTCTCATATAAAGTCACATCTCAACTTGAATTAAAAACTCGAATAAGCGAATTAAACGGGCCCCTAATTACCTATCTACACCTGCACAAGTCCGAACTTTTACACCTATATTTTTTTTTCACCAACTATATGATAGTCAATTGTTATAGGGTAATTTTTAAAAATACCTATTGAAATGGAGCTCCTTTTTATTTTTACTCCTTAATATTAACTCATATATTTCTAACTTTTAGACTATAACTAATTAATAACATGAGTAATAATCAATATTAATTATTCAATCAGTCTAAAATTGTCGTGTAATTAAAAGGGTGTATGGATTTGTGCTTGTGGCCTACATAATTAATTGTGAGTACTAACATTAAGTAACAGTGAAAGATCCATTATGACTAGTTAGAAACCAATAGCCACACGTTTATATATTCCACCAGACAATATTGTAAACAACTTTATTTTTATAGAAAAGCATACCTTATCCGGTGAAAAACGTTGATTGGAAAAAGTCAATCAATCAATAAATAAAATAAGTTGGTATATATAAAGTTAGATGTTTAGTAATACTCCAAGCTAGTGTGAGATCGTCAAGATTGAATATATATATATATATATATATATATATCTGATATATATTCAGATACGATAACTGCATAGTCATGATCTTTACCCCAAGTATGTTTTAATTTTTTTTTTCATTTAATTTGTTTTCTTTTGGTGTGGATATGAAATAGGCGGTTCTTCATGACTGGGGAGACGATGAGTGTATCCGCATCCTGAAAAAGTGTAGGAAAGCCATTCCAAAGGACAAAGGGAAGGTGATAATAGTAGAAGTTGTGATTGGTAATAAAGAGCAACAGAAAGAAGACAACAAGCTAAATGATGTCGGATTGGTTCTAGATATGGCGATGATGGCTCTTACTCACAAAGGCAAAGAGAGGACCTTGGATGAATGGGCATATGTTCTTCGCGAGGCTGGTTTTAGCCGACACACTGTGAGGTCCATTGCAGCTATTCAATCTGTCATCGAGGCTTTTCCAGCTTGAATATGATCTGCGGAAAACAAGTTTGGAAGTGAAAAAAATAATATTCTAGCGCGTTGTTTCAGTTTGTAATGTCGTTTTCGTTATTGTACGAGTCCGTATTTAGGTTATCCAATTGTTGTCTTTCCGTGTTTTGATATATTAATAAGTGTATCACCAATATTGGTGCATGGTTGTTAAGTTTGAAGTTGAAGCTTTGCTTATTTGGATTCGAGCAAAATGTCTAATGCTGTGTTTCGAAGCGAGTGAGAAAGAGTATAAATTATACTGTAATAAAATGGACACCGAGTGATTTATTTAGTTTTTTTTTTTTTTTTTCCCTCCAGTTTTAAGCTCATTAAAAATACAGCTTATTAAAACTACGGGCACGGAAATATGGCCCCTTCATGAAAAGCTTGTTAGCGTTGCTAAAAACTTAAAAAATCACTCGAAAACAATTATTTAAAAGTACAAATGAACATGAAAATATTGATATCTATGGAAATAATAAGAATCTAGATCTATAGAAATACGGATAGAAGGAAATGGTACTTTTAAAAAAAAAAAGAAAATGATTCAAATAGGTAATGGTAGATGCCCAATACATTTATTAATTGATGCATTAATACTTTCAATTGAGAAAAATCATATTATTATGAGAACATAAAAATTCGTTTGTCTAAAATTTCTGTGGCTTCCATGAATATTATACATAGTTTTTCAAATTTTGTATTAATTATTCTGCCTTTTCATCAGGCCCTTTTTTAATAACTAGTCCCTAGAGGGCATAAATCTTAATTTTTATCATTTACTCTTGATTAATACTCTTTTGATTAATATATTTATTTGACTAAAAATGATATTGAGTAAAGAGTAAAAAATACCATACCAAGTATTTTAAGGGGTAGTTTTGTTTCCTTTTTCCAACCACTAATGATATTTATATAATATTGCTCGAGTTTTCTATTCTAGTGTCGGGTAGTAATTATTACCCCAATGAATTAGATTGTATTTCCTAATTTACAGATTTCATCAAACTATTTTTGCATTGGTTTTCAAATCTGATCAGTTCCTATCGTTCAGTTCAAATTTGCTCTTTTTTTCGTTCTCTCCATGATAGTGTTGGTTGCTCCACTTTTGATTGAGTGGAGGTCCTGGAGGAAATTAAACGACAGTAGTTTATGCAATCGGGAATCTCTAGAGAAATGCACCTTACAAGAGGAGCATTACATTTATGCATTTTCTTCCACACTATAAGATTTTTGCTTTTATTTTTTTATCGGCCATTATAACAGATTAAAGCATTGTTGTTTTGATGATAACAAACTTTTGAGTGAGAATCTCTAATCAAGAGAAATGCTAGCACAATTTTTATGTCACATTTTTTGTTACTCTCTACATTTACTGTTTGACACATAGACTCCACGAATATGTAATTGTTGGTTTCTCAAACCGGATTTAAAAAAAAAAATTGTGCAGAAGCGTGGTATCGATCGAATCACATAAATCAAAATTTAATGTGATCATTATTTCATGTTAATTTAACTACAAAGATATTAATGAGAAGAATAAGAATTTTACCGTCGCTCGATTAAGACGTAAATCTTGAACTCCTCCAACACCGTCTTAAGCTCTTAAATTCTAAGAACACCACGGTTCTTTCTCAACGTATCTCCGGATTAACGTGAACTCAAACGTGTGGGCGTTCTAATGGGTTTCTCAACACATGAGATGGATGAATAGGGAAGCCACCGATAGTTATTACTCACTTTTCTCAAAAGTATGTGATGGCACTCAAGAATTTTTTTTTGGTTTTTCTTTTGTTCTCCCGTTTTTTCTTTTTCCTTTCTCTGGAAAAAAGCTTTTGTTTCTCTCTGTGTGGCAAAAAAACTACGAGAACTAATTTCTCTTCTTATTAGTTAATGTGCAGCTGCACATTCCCTTTTTTCTCATGGAAAGGAAACATGCAACAACACATTTCCTCCCACTTCTCATTTTTTTTTGTTGAGGAAACGTGCACATGCACGTTTCCTTTCTTATATATATATATATATATTAACGAGGGAAGGGAGAAGGAAATGTGGAGAAAAGAATTCTCTCTAAATTCATCCACTTAATTTAAAACAATTTTAAATTAATTTTAATATTAATTAATCAAATTAATTAATATATGTGTATTTAGAATTCTCAATTCTATATTAATAATCATAACCTAATATGATATATTCAGTTCACATTAATCTTATGGAGCCATTAAGAGGAACTATGGACATTATAATTTTAAACTCCAATAATTTTGACAAATTACTCCACTATAAATTTGGAATTGCACTCTTAAAATAATAAAAATAATTATGTTCACGGAATTTGTGTTGTCTATTGATATAGTCACTACATACGAATTAATCCTCCATAAACGGTTCATAATTAAAGCTAGGTATTTTCCGTTAACCTCTTTAATTATATTTTTCTCTATAAGTACCATTGATCCTTTAATGAATAATATATTTTATGATCCAATCATAAAATTGAGCGCTCTTATTATTCAAGTCCTGAATTAACACTTATGGGAACCATCCATCTACTTCATTATGACGGAATGGATTTCATCTTGTAAATTAATATTCCTGGCTATTTATTTTACTATGCTCCCAATATACCAAGACTTTGACACTATTCACATATGTCATTATTCAATATGCCAAAGAACATAATATCATAAATATGAGTTTATTAATTACTCAGAATTAAGATTAATTCATATATGACCATCATTGATTAATATTGAATACTCTATTTAATAACAGAATTTATTAGAGATTCATAATTAATCGTGTTCCGATCCTATGTAATCATATTACATAAAATGCTTTCATTCCAATAATCTCATTATTAACAATCTAGGATAAGATTGTTTCATTCAGAATGTAATGAACCGCATTAGTACTTTTAAATGAAAGATCCCAACTTTAATTTATAATTACGGACAAGTTTAGATTATTTTATTTCAAACATTATCCTCTGCATATAACAATTATATACAATGTTTAAAGTTACATCAAAAAATAATCTAGGGATTTTGATATTTATAAAACATCACATGTATGCAAAATAATATTGAAAAAATTCCTCATTTCATTGATAATCAGCAAAATATTTACATCTTATTTGATTTATGGGCATATATCCCAACAATCTCCGACTTGTCCTAAAGCAAATGAGGCATGTCTCTAAGTCCCATACTTTCAAGATGTCTCTTAAAAGTCCCAGCTGGTAATGTTTTGGTAAACGGATCAGCTATGTTGTTCGCGGATGCGATCTTTTCAACTGAAACGTCTCCTCTAGAAACAATCTCTTTAACCAGGTGGAATTTTTGCTCTATATGCTTTCATTTGCGGTGGTTCCTGGGCTCCTTGGCAGTGGCCACTGCTCCACCATTGTCACAATAAAGTATGATAGGCTCATGCATATTTGGAACAACTTCCAATTCCTTCAGAAATTCACGAAGCCAGACAGCTTCCTTAGCTGCTTCACAAGCTGTTACATACTTAGCCTCCATGGTTGAGTCAGCAATACAAGATTGCTTGATACTCCTCCATATGATGGCTCCATTTTCCAAAGTGAACACTGCCCCCAAGGTGGACTTGCGAGAGTCCCTATCTGACTGAAAATCAGAATCAATATATCCAATAGGAATCAAATCCCTACCAGAGTATACAAGCATATGGTTTCTCGTCCTCCTTAAATATTTGAGTATGTGTTTGACTGCAACCCAATGATCTAATCTTGGGTTTGACTGGTATCTGCCAACCAACCCTACAACATAGCATATGTTAAGTCTAGTACATAGCATTGCATACATCAGGCTTCCAACTGCCGATGCATAGGGAACTCGTCTCATATCCTCTTCCTCTTGAGGTGTCTTTGGACACTGCTCCTTGGAGAGATAAACTCCATGTCGAGAAGGTAAATTTCTTTTCTTGGAGTTTTGCATCGAAAACCTGACAAGCACCTTGTCAATATACGATGCCTGAGACAATGCCAAAAGGCTATTCTTACGACCCCGGATAATTTGGATCCCAAGAATGTAGTTGGCTTCTCCTAAATCTTTAATTTGGAGTTGGCTGGCTAGCCAATTCTTTACTTTGGATAACGATTCTACATCATTCCCAATGAGCAGAATGTCATCTATGTAAAGAACCAAGAAGACCACTTTATCTCCTTGAATTTGCTTGTAGACACAAGGTTCACTAAGATTTTGTTCAAAGCCATAAGATTTTATAGTTTCGTTAAATTTGATGTTCCAAGATCTAGATGCTTGCTTTAGTCCATAAATGGACCTCTGCAATTTACAGACTTTCTGCTCTTGGCCTTCTACCACGAAACCCTATTGTTAGACCATATGAATGGTCTCTTCAAGATGGCCGTTCAGAAATGCCGTCTTGACATCCATTTGTCATATCTCATAGTCATAATGAGCAGCAATGGATAAGAGTATGCAGATGGAATTTAGCATGGCTACAGGGAAAAAAGTATCCTCATAGTCTACTCCTTCCTTTTGGGTAAAACTCTTTGCAACCAATCTTGCTTTGAACGTTTCAACTTTTCCATCAGCTCTTCTCTTTCTCTTATAGATCCATTTGCAACTAATAGGCTTAACGCCTTTTGGTAGGTCTATAAGCTCCCAGACATAATTGGAGTACATAGACTCTATTTCAAGTTTCATGGCTTCTTACCATTTTTCTCGATCAATATCATCCATTGCCATCCTGTATGACAATGGATCCTCTTCACTGCCATCGGTGACTGCAACATTTGCTTCTCAATTTTCACGATAGCGGGTTAGCAATATTATTTCCCTCCCACTACATCATGGTGGTGGTGGTGTTTGATCATGGTTAGTGGTCTCCCTTATTTGTCGTCCAACAACTGTTGTCGGTATGTGGCTAATCTGATCAGTCAGCAACTCTTCCAGAACTATCTTGCTTCTGGGCTTGAAAGTGCCATATAGTTATGCTCAAGAAACGTAGAATTTGTCGATACAAACACTTTGTTATCTTGAGGACTATAAAACATACCTCCTCTTGTTCCTTTTGGATAGCCCACAAATATGCAGACTTCCGAGCGAGGTTCCAACTACCCAGTCTTTCCCTTCAACACATGTGCTGGGCACCCCCATATGCGAATGTGTCTCAAACTAGGTTTGCGACTATTCCACAACTCTAGGGGTGTTATGGGGATTGACTTAGATGGAACTAAGTTTAGAATGTATACTGTTGTTTGCAATGCATATCCCCAGAAT